CTCTCTCTCTCTCTCTCTCTCTCTCTCTCTCTCTCTCTCTCTCTCTCTCTCTCTGTGTGTGTATGTGTGCGTGTGCGTGTGTAGGAAGGGAGAGGTTGCAAGGGCAAAGGGCAGATATGAGGGTAAAGGGAGATTAGTGGGACTAGGTTGTATGATGTGAAACTCACAAAAAAAAAATCAATTAAAAGTTTTTAAAAGAAAAGAAGTGACAGTGAATGCTGACAAGGATGAAGGAAAAGAGGAGTTGTCATTCCCTGGTGGTGTGAATGTAAGCTGGTGTGGCCACCATGGAAATAAGTATAAGTTTTCTTTAAAGATTAAACTCAGAACTACCATAAGACCTATTTATATCACTCCTGGACATGTGTCCAAAGGACTATATCCTGCTAGAGATCCTTATGCATCCATGTTACTGATGTTCTAGACACAGAACCTAAGAAGTAAGATCAGCCTGACGTCCACACTATGGGTTCTATCCAGTCATATAGTAAGATAGTAAAATAAGTAGAACTGGGGGAAAATTCTCTTTCATAAGCAGATCCCAGCTTCTAATTTCTGTATATGAGTATTTATGTGGGAGTTTAGATAGGGGTCAGGAGCCTGGAGACCGTGACCCACCGAAGTAAATAAAAGTGCTCTAAAAGAAGAGGGGAGGGGAGGTGATATGCAGTGTGAAAGTGGAAAGTGGATACTGAAAGTACAGGTACAAGCAGAGGTGGAGGCAGGGAGATGAGGTTATAGCCCGGTGGGTCCATAGACCTCAGCCAATCTCTACATTCTTCTTCAATTTCTTCAGTTCCCAGGCTTCACTGCCAGTAGTTACACACCCAACCCTTGGCTGCCCAGAGCATGCATGTGAACAGAAGTGTTCCTCTGGTGGGTTCCACAGCCCTCTCTGGAACATCTTGATGCAGTTAGACTCCATACCTTATTCCTGCCTGGAAATATCACTTAAGTTAGTAGGCTTATGTACAGATCTTGTCTCTTACATTAGGGATGCATGTAACTGTATTTTCGTTCTATCCAGTGACTACTGCTAGAGCTCCCTGTAGATTAATCTTCATGTTTAACTTCCTCTACTTAGCACACATAACCTTACAAGTCTATTAGCAAGACAAAACATCCTCAAACCAGCTAGCTTACCATCTTCTTCCTCAATGAGCTATTCAAAGAAGGCCATTCAAATATAACATATATATATGCCAAGTCACATCACCTTGGAAACAAAACTGGAATGGCAAAGACAACCAAACACAATATGTCAGTGGTAGACACATGGGGGAAGGCAGAGAGCTCAGAATTAGGTTTATAACACTTAAAGAATAAGCCGGAACCCACAGCAGCTAATATGTAAATTTCAGTGGCTTAGCCCCTCCGAGGTTAGTAAACCCTGGCCCACTTACTGTTTCTCTTTCATGTGAAGTAAAATGGCTGTAGCCTAATGTCCTTCTGAAATCAAGAAACACATCTTCATTTTCCAGACTGGGACCAGACTTTTGTGCCATGTTGTGACATGCACACATGCACAGGCAGGGAAGGACTTGACTTGTGCCCACGTGCCTTTCTTCAGGGACAAGTGGAAACAGGCATAAGGAAGCACCTCATCCTCAAGTGACCTCCTTTGTCTCCCTCCTTCCTGACCAAGATGACCAGCTTATCTCTTACGATGGTAACTTACTACCCAAAGACAAGTCCATCTGAAGCAAGAACTGACTAGGACTCCGTTGTGACTGATAAACTGGGAAGAAAAATATTGGACCAGAGACTTCAAGGCAGCTCTCAGACAAGAATATTCCAGTGCCAGGTAGGGAAGCCAACATCCCTCAAATTTTGCAGAGAACAAAATTGGTGTTTCTGACATGCTGGATAATCCTCTCTGTTACTAATATGAAAAAAAAAACCTCCCTTAAAAGACTGTTTAATGATGGAAAAATTACTTAATAATGACAACAACAAAAAAAACATGTTTCTGGAATTGTTATACCTAAGGATGTTACTAATATAGCTTGTGAATTGTGTTTGGGATAATTTAAAGATGTGTTTTTATGCTTACTGGTTCCCTTTCCCTCTCCCTCCTTTTCCCCATCTCACTTTCTCTCCACAAACAGGTCAAAAATTACCCTGAGGATTTATTTGACTTTGGTGAGGGAGAATTGGGATACAGCATTAAGGATGAGTTTACTGAAATGCTCCCCCCAGAGTTCTATTCCCGTTACCCTAGTGCGTTAAGTCCAGGAACCACACAGGTTGTCTTATTGATACCTAGGCTTTCCTCAATAGACCAATCAATGCCCAACATAGACACTGTATAGGATCATGGATCCCAGCAGAGCCTCATCAATGTTCCTGACACATCTTTTGCCTGCAAATAATGAATTCCATGTTAAAGGTTTCAACCAATTCTAGAGTAGAGATCCCAATCCCATACCCATCAGCCACCACCCTGTGACCAAACATGGCTTTATAATGATCTAGATCAAACTAGATCTTGTTTAGTGCGACATGTTTCTCTTATGCTGCCAGCTCATGCAGTCCACTCCCATGTTACAGTCCCCTATTCTCTGTTTGGAAAAAAATTGTCTCCTATGCAGAACCAGAGAGGCTTTTTACTGTTTTTGAACTCTTTTTAAAGATATTTTTAAAAAAAATTTTTTTTGAGGAAAAGAAAAATGTAACCTCAGAATTTACATTTTTCTGTGGTGTACTCTCTGCACACATTTTAAGTTGTAATTTAAAATAGTTTCTGACAACTATAAAATGGATGTAGAAAGTGAACTATTATAAAATAAACAAATATAACAATCGACCAATATGCAATGTGAAGGCATATATATAATAGACAGGAGGATGGACTGTGTCCTTAGTTCCCCTGCGCTGCCCCGGGGAAACCTCTAGGCACAGCTTGTGCAGTCTTCTAGAAGAAGCCTGTACTACAGCCTTTGCTTTACAGTCAGACTGTTTGTAGTATCCAGTGCCCCCATATTTTCATTAAAATATCCAGAAACTTAGTTTCCTTTTATTAACTGATCTGTGTTCCTTGTCTTCTACATTGATCAGCTTACCCAAATTCCTATCAATGGATATTTGGTGTTTCTATTCTTTTCACCTTTTCAAAACAATACAGTCTCTACAGACATCTGGGCACGCTCAGCCCTCATTTCCCACCCCACGATGGCCTAAGGGGTTTTCCTTCCTCCTACTCCAGTGTTTTCTCTCTCACATACATGCTGCTCCTATCAGGTGATTTTGTCCCTGCCATCTACTCTGATATGTGTGCACTAAGTGCATAAACAGCAGATTTAGGTCTAAGCTTTCTTCTTCAATGTCATGGGCATACAATATTAATTCCTAGCTCATAGAGTCTTATGGGTAGCTAAATATAATGAGCCATATATGATGTCTGGCATTTTATAAGTTCTCAACAAATGTCAACTTTTATGGTTGATATCGCTTCCATAACTACAGAAAAAAAAAACACTTCTCATTCTCTTTAGGATTTATGTTGGTTGAAATCATCAGCTATTTTACATAGTTAATTTTTATTGACTATTTTTCTTTTCTTTCTATTTCCAATTTGATTCTTTTCTTTCTCCATCTTCTGGTGAAACACATGTAGAATCCATCATTCCAGAGTAACAAAACCCCTAGTAACATAAACAAATAGGCCTCTCTAATCTTGGTTAGAGTTGCAATTTCTTTAAGAAAGTCGATTGTTGTAGTGGTCAGTACTAACCTTTTGTCTATTGCAGTTTGCTATCACTGATCTATAATATTGACTTTTTATTGCTTTTTTTTTCATTTATTCTCCAAATGTCTGATGGATGCTTGTCAATTAAATATAATGGACCAGAATTCCCAAAAACCTGGCTAATGAAATAGCAAACATCTTACTAGCTGTTAAGAGCAAATAGGTTCTACAGGCCTAACAACCTATCTATAAAGCCAGCTCACTGGTAGAAAGAATCCTGGGGCTGAATCTTGAAGGACAGCTATTTCTGTGCTACCCTACGGAGGACAGGGTGTTCAGAAGCAGAGAAGACGCCTTGTAAATGCTGGAGGCCATGGTGGAATTGTAAGGAGTTTGGGGAGATAGGGAGAGGATGGGAATGGATGGTTACCAGCGAAACAAGACTGTAGTAAATGAAGCTGAAACTCAAAGCAAGCTTTGAGAGTCTTTAATTGGTTTCTATGGGGACACTAACTTCAAAGGTATCATGAACTTGGTTGATCTCCATCAGAGTTGAGCTTTACCTGTCCTGTAACAACAGACCAATTCATGAGTAAAAGCTTATTTTTCTCCTTTGTTGATGGTTGCTGTTGTCTCATATGTCATCCAAAACTCAATTCCAAAGGATATGAATCTTGAGATACATATATAGTATATATATAGATATAATTTCATGTACCTTCTGTGAAACAGCATTAAAGCAAAGGAGTTCAAATAGAAAGACAGGCTTAGTTATTATTAACTAAGAAATGCTACTGAGTTCTAAGTTAATATCAAATAAAGTTTATAATTTGCAGAAGTCTCCCCCATCTACTCAGCCCAGGAAAAGTTACAAAGAATTGGCTATTCAATTTGTTTGTTTTCCTTCTTTTTAAAGTTATTTTATTTATGTGTGAGTGAATGACATGTACTGATGGGTACAGAGGCCAGAAGCTAGTGTCAGATTCCTTGCAGCTGGAATTACAGGCAGTTGTGAGCTGCTCACAGTGCTGGGAACTAAGGTCCTAAGGAACAGCAGCAAGTGCTATTAACTGCTGAGCCACCTCTCCAGCCTCTTTCTTTATTTTTCAATGAACAAAAAACAAGCAGTCCTATGAGATATGCTGCTAAAGAAAAAGATATAATATGTAGTATTGTATGTAATAATAATGAAATATATTATCTTCTAAGAATTCAAGTCTCACCTACTAGCATTTCTCTGTCAGAGAAGCCCAAGAGCTTCCACGCATGCTTGGAGAGGGGGTTAAGTCTTAGCAGCTGACCCAGTGCTCGGTTCCTCTTCAGTGAGGAGGGTTTTTGTACAGCCAGACAATGGAGTACTACCACTGTGGTGGACGTTCGGTGGAGGCACCAAGCTGGAAATCAAACGTAAGTAGAATCCAAACTCTCTTTCTTTCATTGTCTATGTCTTGTGGCTTTTATGTCTAAAAGTGATGTATAAAATCTGACTCTGAAAACAAATTCTGGCATTCTCCCGGGCAAAGATACATAATAACTCCATTAGCAAAGCTGGGAATAAGCTATACATGTTCTCTGGAGAATGAATGTCAGCGTAATAATTAAAAACAAGTGATAGTTTCAGAAATGCTCAAAGAAGCAGGGTAGCTGCTCTAGACAAAACCTTTGCTTGGTGCTCAGAAGACCATGCTCAGTTTTTGTATGGGGGATGAGTGAAGGGAAACCAGTGTGTGTACACGTTTGGAGCTGGGACCAAGCTGGAGATAAAACGTAAGTAGTTTTCTCAACTGATTGTTCACTGTGTCTAACCATGTTACTTTTTGTTCTTTGTTGTGTGTTTTTCTTAACGGGATTTCAGGGATGTAACAAATTCCACTCTGGGATCGGGTGTTAAGGAGAGAAAACTGTTCCGTGGGAGGTTGGCCAGTGGCTAATGTCTAGGCTTTCTAAACCAAAGTAACTAAATTAAGAGAAGAGGGATAGTTATCTACTAAGGGATGTTTTTTACAGAGGTAGAAGTTAAAGTAAATCACTGTAAATCACATTCAGTGATGGGACCAGCTTGGAAAGAAAACCTAAGTACATTTTTGCTCAACATTTTTGTGAAGCTTTGGTCCCATTTTGTACTTTGTATGAATTTGTGGCATTTATATGATAAACTGTTCTTTTTACCCAAAAGTTAAATAGAAGAGAACCAAAAATCTAGTTAGTGTAGAAGCTAAGCAAACAGACTGACCTCACATCAGATTTGTGGAGAAAAGTAAGATTTGTGGGAGGAATGAGAAAGAAACAGTTTTTCTCTGAACGTGGCATATCTCACTGGATCAACTTCAGGCAGCTTTTTGTACAGGGGGGGCTTTGACATGAATCACTGTGATTCACGTTCGGAAGTGGGACAAGATTGGAAATCAAACGTAAGTAGATTTTTGCTCAATTATTTGTGACATTTTGGTTTTGTTGGTTCACTTATGTGAATTTGTGGCATTTTGGCTAAATGAGCCATTCCTGGCAACCTATACATCAATAGAAGACCCCCCCCTCCAGAAAATAGTGTGAAAGCTGAGGGAAAACCTCATGTTAGACTTGTGAGACCAGTTTTGTAAGGGGAATGGAGAAGAAAGAGTTGGGCTTTCCTCTGAATTTGGCCCATCTAGTTGGATTGGCTTCGCAGGCAGGTTTTTGTAGAGGGGGGCATGACAGAGTCCTCACTGTGGCTCACGTTCGGTGCTGGGACCAAGGTGGAGATAAAACGTAAGTACATTTTTCACATCTTTTTTTATGTGTAAGACACAGGTTTTCATGTTAGGAATTAAAGTCAGTTCAGAAAACCTTGAGAAAACAGAGAGGGCTCATTATCAGTTGACCTGGCATACAGTGGCAGATTTTCTGTTTATCAAGCTATTGAGACTAGGGGTAAAAAAGGAGGCTTTAATTGAGGAGAAAGTAATTAATACTATGGTCATCGTCTAAGAGATTGGACCGGAGAGTAAACATAAGTAGTTAATGAGATCTGGGTCTGACTGCAGGTAGCGTGGTCTTCTAGAAGTTTAAGTGGGAGATTTGGGGAAAAGAGGAATGAGCACACTTCGGGATAGAAATAGGCTAAAGTCAAGTTCAGCTCCAGAAATGGATGTGGAAGCGAAGCTTTTGAGATTAGCTGAATGACCCAGAGGAAGAAAACTGTGCAGATGAAAGAAGGGCTTGGAGCTCTGAGAACAGCAGATTCATTTGTGTTGAGTTTCCACAAAGACTGTTTTGAGCTTTGCAGTACATGTGGGATCGTGGAGTTGAGTGAGCCGTAGGCTGCTTTCTCTTTTTTGTCTCCTATTTTTTTTTTATGACTACAAAAATCAGTATTATGCCCTGAAATGAAAATCAGTAAAGTGTTTGAAAGTATGAAAGTTTGGCATGTAGAAACGGTGGCTTACTGAATAACCAGAAGAGGTATGATTTTTAAAGTCTAAAATCTGTCACAAAATGTCAAAATGAAAGACTCTGTAGGAACTAGTCCTTGACAGACAGCTCAGGGGTGTTTTTTGTCTCATTTCTACATGAATGTAAATTTGAAATGATCTCTTTTATTATAATAGTAGAAATACAGTTGGGTTTAAATTATATGTTTTAATGGCCACTGTTTTGTAAGACACTTAGCCCTTTGCTTTCCCCAGTTATTACTCACTTGTATTTTTATGCCACCAGCAAGGGGCTGAAACAGTCTACAATCTCTTCTTTACAAACGGGTGACTTCGCGGCCATGTCAGCCGCTTGGAGTTCACCCTGCCGCTAAGGGCCACGTGAATCGCGGTAGCATCCTTTGCTCCGCGTGGACCACTTTCCTGAGGCATAGTGATAGGAACAGAGCTACTAATCTGAGGAGACTAGAGATGTGACAGACACTACACTAACGTGAGAAAAACAAGGAAAGGGTGACTTATTGGAGACTTCAGAAATGAAATGCATTTATCCTTATATTCCCTTATTTTAGTTTTCCGTTAGGGAATTAGGAAAGGCAGTAAACTGTTTTATCCAGTGTTATATTAAAAGCTTAATGATATAATCCTTTGGAGGTAAAATTTACAACCAGCAAACTCTCATTAAACTCCATTAAATTATAAGTCATATTAATTGGTTAAAATAAGATAAATTTGTGATGTGATTTTAACTGGTTAGGTAGGGTATTTTTCTTCACACAAAAATATGACTAATAAAAATTTAGCATAAACATATTTCCCAATATTTTAATTCTGTGATAGAAAAATGTTTAACTCAGCCACTTGAATCCCATAATTTTGAAAACTGTTTATTAATTTGTTTTTGTGTTTGACCCTTCCCCAGGCAAAGGTAACTATTTAAGGACCCTTTAAAACTCTTGAAACTACTTTAGAGTCATTTAAGTTATTTAACCACTTTTAATTACTTTAAAATGATGTCAACTCCTTTTAAAACTATTAATTTATTTAAAGGGGAAAAAAACTACTCATAATTCTGTTGTTTTTCTTGGTAAAGAACTCTCAGTTTTCATTTTTACTACCTCTGTCACCCAAGAGTTGGCATCTCAACAGAGGGGGCTTTCCGAGAAGCCATCTGGCAGCTGCTTAAGGTCAGAAGTGAAGCCTGTCAGTTCCTCCCAGGCAGGTGGCCCAGATTACAGTTGACCTGTTCTGGTGTGGCTAAAAATTGTCCCATGTGGTTACAGACCATTAAACCAGGGTCTGGTGAGTGCTCAGAATGTTTCTGGACACCCACCCAAACATAGACCCTGGCTTAAGGCCTCATCTATACCACATCAAAGGAAGGTTTAGCTTGGCCACCCCAAAGGAAGCCATAGAGAGGCTGATATCAGAGAATTCCTGGAAGAGGCAGGAGAAAATGAAAGCCAACCTCTGCTCCTACCTTACATGTTTGTATGTTCAGACTCTCAAACATCAGGGATGTCAGATAAACTGGTCTGGTGTCTCTGTCTGAAGCATGGAACTATTGAAGCTGAAGAAGAACGTAGTTTTCAGGGAAGAAAGACAATAGAAGGAAGACTTAGAATAGCTTCAAAGGGTCAGACTCAATTAGAGAAGTAGCTAGGAACTAGAGAATAACTCAAAACCAACAAGATTATATATATCTGGACCCTGGCTTCATTGATCCTAATCTATAGGGAAAAGTGTGCTTTTCTGTGTGTCTGTCTATAACATAACTGTTCACACATAATGCACTGAAAGGGAGACCTTCCTTGTTACTTCATACCATCTTCTGTGCTTCTTTCCTCAGGGGCTGATGTTGCACCAACTGTATCCATCTTCCCACCATCCCCTGAGCAGTTAACAACTGGAGGTGCCTCACTCGTGTGCCTCATGAACAACTTCTATCCCAAAGACATCAGTGTCAAGTGGAAGATTGATGGCAGTGAAAAACGAGATGGTGTCCTGAACAGTCTGACTGATCAGGACAGCAAAGACAGCACCTACAGCCTCAGCAGCACCCTCACACTGACCAAGGAGGAGTATGAACGACATAAACTCTATGCCTGTGAGGTCACTCATAAAGCATCGACTTCAGCCATCACCAAGAGCTTCAAAAGGGATGAGTGTTAGAATCAAAGGTCTTGAAGCCACCACCTGCTCCCAGCTCCATCTAATCTTCCCTCCTAAGGTCTTGGAGACTTCCCCACAAGAGACCTACCACTGTTGCAGTGCTCCAAACCTCCCCACCTCATCCTCCTCCCTTTCCTTGGCTTTTATCATGCTAATATTTGGGGAAGATATTGAATAAAGTGAATCTTTGCACTTGAGATCTCTGTCTTTCTTACTACATGGTGGTTAATAGCTGTTTTTCCAGTTTCTTTTCTAAAGAAGTTAAATGTTTAGTTGCCCTGAAATCCACCACACTTAAACAATAAACAAAACCCTCCACATGCCCTGCTTGACTGTCCATGACATGGCAGTCCTCTCTAAGGTTCACAAGTACTATTCATGGCTTATTTCTCTGGGTCATGGTAGGTTTGAGGAGGCATACATAGTTTCTAGTTATCTTCTCCTAAGTCATCAAAGTTCTGAAGGGGGACAGTGTTTACAAGCACATATTCTGTAAGCTGATTCAACCTACCCAGAAAACTTCCCAAAGCAATGGAGATTCATTATCACAGGAAGAGGAAACAATCTAAATGAGCAAGCAATGGAAAAATCTTGAAGCCCATCACAGTACCTGGGCTTCATTGGTTCTTAGGCCTTCTCTAAGTTTTTAAATATGAGTTGACTCCTATCTGCTATTGGCAACTGGGCACAATCCACAGCCTATTTCAAGAACTGCTTCACTGTGAGATTAAATACATACATCAAAATTTGGGAAAGGTTCTACAAAGCTGAGAACTGACCATCACCTACTTTTGGCCATCCACTCTTACGTGCTTATCTCTGTACATCAGAAACCTTAAGAAGCAACCAGTGTTCAGAGATTCATTTATGAAAGTCTAAAACTGGATACAATCAAACGATTAAATTATGATATGTTCATAATCAAGCTATTACTCAATAAGGAGAATTAATAAAATAAAACTACAATAGCGTAGTTTAATCTTATAAACATAATATTAAGCAAAACAAACACAGAAGAGGCCATCTGGGTATTTTTTTTCATCCATGTAAGTTTAAAAGTAGGTAAAATTAAAAATTAAGAGAGACATAAGTTTTGAGGTAGCAAGATGGAAACTCAGAGTTTGGGGAATGTTCTATTTCTCAGTATGGAATGTGTCACTTTATGAAAATGAATATTGTGGTACTGGGATCTATGTTCTTCCTGTATATGTTTTATACTTCATAATAACTTCACCTAAAGAAATATCTAATACCCAGTGCATATTTAAAAGAGGATAACAGGAATAAATCATAGGTCAAGGCCAGAAAGACAATAAGTAGGGGATCCAGGATCAAATCTCCTGCTGCCTTGAGCCCTCTTTGAGCCTTCTGCCTTCCAAAGCTCAAAGTACAAAACGGATGATTCAAACACATGATACCTCCTTGGGGTCTCTTCCTCCATCCATCAAATTAGAAATAGCCATGTATAAAATGGAATATAAGAGACCTTCTTCAACAGTTCAAAGGATATAGGTAATTTTGTTCAGGTATGAAGAGCCCACGTATCAAAGGTTATATTAGAGAAGGAAGAGGATACATCACAGTGACTTTTACCCTCTCCCTACTCCTGGAGTCCCTGCATTTAGTCCCTCGTGGGCTCATCCACTCAATACACATTTACTAAGGTTCTTCTCAGCCTACACTCTGAAAGAGGTACAGCAGTAATAAGTTAGTGTCCCTCCCCCCAGTTAATTCGCTGCAGTCCAGCTTTCCTGCTCCTTCTCTTTCTCAGTCCACACTAGGATAGTGAGAAAGGACAGTCACCACATGGAATAGGGCAACACTCTGCAGTCTTACTTCTTGAGAATGTACATTATTATCCACTTTTTGAAACTTTAGAGTTGCTTTTTTTTTAATATTTCTTTTCAAATAGCATGACCTTGTTCCCTCATTTCTGGGAACCAAATTTATCAAACAACAGTGCCTCTAATCTGGCTATGAATTCAAAATGCATCTTCTGAGAGGCAAGATTCTGAAATCAGACCCATCAGGACCCTAACAAGAGAAAATAAATGTTGTATGCTGAATCAGGCTCCTCAAAAATATAAATGTGAAAGTCTTATCTAAAACAGAGCCCACAATAAAAAGGAAGAAAGAATACACTTAAGCATTTATATAATTCTGAGCAACCTTGCGCTTTGTGAAAAAAATATAATCTAATGTCACATGCCGTATTCTTTTTATTTAACATTGGTGAAATTATAACCATTAGAGAGATAGAGGACAGATCACTGATCCTAGGATCTAGAGATCTTAGGGATAAGAAAACAGATGTGACAATCAAAGGGACATCACAAGGAGGATCTTCGAGGTCACAGAATCGCTGTGCTGATTTCAGTAGTGGTTACACACATTTGGATATGTGATAACATGGTGTTGAACTATATTCACCCATTGCACCAATGTCAAATCCTTAGTGTTGGCACTATACTATAATTATGCAATAAATAACTATTTGGACAAAGAAGATGAAGTTTACATCAAAGATGAGATCGTATTTGTTAGGGACATAACTTTAAAACTATTTTGTGTAACTAATGAAAAACCACTTTGTGTGACTTGACATAATATCATGACTGAGATGTCATCAGGTAGATCTGATAAGACCTAAACCTCAGAAGCAAGCCCCTGGCAGGCCAGCACAGATAGGAGCTAAATCCAGGACAGGCCTTGATATGCTAATGAACTACACCTAAGGCGGCATTGACGTGCTAGTGAATCAACTCCAAACTGTGAGACATGATAGCTCAAAGCTACTGAAATGATTCAAAAACTAGATCTTTGGGAATGGTGTCTAAGATCGCTCTGCTGTATGCCTGGAACACAGCTTCTCTGTCTTTTGTGTTAATACTAGCCTATAAGTTTCCAAAACACTCTCACTGAAGAAGATTCCCCACGGGACCCTTACAGCAGCATTTTTTGCCCAAACAACTGCTTCCCGTCTGGTGTGATATCTGTTTTACTTTTATGTTAGTGTAATATTACAAGGAATGTTTATCTGAATAAACCAAGCATATTTAAAAGACAAATCTTGTGTGTATATCCTAATTGCCAAGAATTTTACAGCTGATAGGCCCATGCTCTCCACAGTACTGGATCTAAATAAGTCCTAATTCCAATGTTTGTCATCTTAATAGAGAGAAAGAGATTGAAAATGAAGAGATATGCAGAGAGTACACCATGTCATCCTGGAGATAGACTGAAGTGACACAGCTGCCAGTCAAGGAGTATTAAGGACTTCCTGAAGCCACCAAAGGAAAGAGGTATGAAGTGGTTTCTTCTTCAAAGTAGCCAGAGGAAACCAACTCAACCAACACCTTTTTGTTTAAGACGTCTTGCCTACAGAACTGTGAGAAGATAATTCCTATTGTATTAGGCCCCTGAATGTGGCACCTTGTTAGGGTAGAGCCAGGAAACCAGTAAAATGCAGACAGCCCAAAGGATAGCTTGGTTTTCAAGGACCTTCCTTCTAAATTGATGAGTTGGTCACAGGTGCTCATTAGCCCAGAGATGGCTGTGTCGACTCATAGGCCCTTATATAGCCCCTCAAATTTGGAAAGCTCAAGTCAATATGAATTAAAGATTAAATACACTAGAAATCCAGACAACTTCTCTCAGTAAGTAACATACATGCCTCCAACTCTAAAATATAAACTGTGGAAACAGCCTTCACCTGTGTCGTGTGCTAGCTGTGTGACCCTAAGTCAGATAGTTACCTTTCATGGGACTCGATGTCTTACCTGTGCAATGCATATAATGATGGTAACCACTGGACAGGCAAGAACTTGTAGAGGTTAAAAAGAATAGCAAATGCATAGAGTTAGATACACTGTGGGCCTCATAGTCAAAGCTCAGTGAGGCTGGCCAGGTAAGGAGCACATTGCAACATTGTTGTACAGGATGGAGTCCAGTGAGTCTTTTGATAAGAGTAAGGTGAGGAGAGACAAGACGAGAAAGAAAAGAATGGGAGAGGAATGAAGGATGGAGGACAAGAGAAAGATGAGAGAAAAGAACAGTAATCCCAGCACTCAGGAGGCAGATGTGGGGCAGGTCTCTGTGAATTCCAGGCCAGCCTGGTCTACTGAGTGGGAAGAGGGAGAAGGAAGGAAAAGGAGGAAGAGATCTGTTAAGGAAAACTAGGAAGGCCCTGCCATGGCATTCCTCATCCTTAGCAAGGAGGGTGTCCTTTCTCCAAGTCAGAGAGAGATTCTTTTTTTTTTTTTTTTTTGGTTTTTTGAAACAGGGTTTCTCTGTGTAGCCCTGGCTGTCCTGGAACTCACTCTGTAGACCAGGCTGGCCTCAAACTCAGAAATCCGCCTGCCTCTGCCTCCCAAATGCTGGGATTAAAGGCGTGCGCCACCACCGCC